CTAGCCTCTCACCTGCTTCTTTCCTATCTGATCTTCCTCATTTACTACCTGTCTCCACAATTATAGCACCATGAGGGCAGGGGCTCAGCCTTTCTCCCCACTTTACCCTTAGTGTCTAGAATTCTGCACATGGTAAGTACCCAGTAATCATTTGTTGGATGACTATCATGGTGGTGATACATTGAAAACATTTAATAGACATAAATTTCACTCCTTCACTCCCAAAAGTATATTCCTCTGAAGCTACTCCACTATTATGAGCTGGGGAGGGGGGTGCCATCTCTGGAAAGGAAGAAAGGAGATGGGGGAGGGAGGGAGGAAAGCTGGTGAAGAATGGGAAGGAGAAGAATCTGACATCAGTATCCCGGTCTCATTATCTGGGACAACATCTTGAAGGAAGAAAATGAAAGCTGAAAATAAAAAAGTGTGTATGTCCCATTCTGTATTTAGAAGACAGACCCCCAGGCAGCTTGTGCTCTGCTTTCTGGGTAAAAATGGTGGAGTATAGATTTAACTGCAAGACAGTGTGAGTGAGCGACACTAAAGCCACCTTTAGCTCCCAGAGGCCTGGAAGGGATCCAGAAGCTCCTGCATGCCACAGGACATGAGGAAGTTGGAATTGGTGGGCCTATCAGAGTACTGCCATGGTGAATGGTGGGGTGAATCTGCCATGGAGGTCCTGGTGAGGGCAGGTCACACCCAGGACGGGGCAGAGACCAGAGGGGCCTGAGGGGCCAGAGAGAGCCACAGTGGTGCTGAGTCAGCTAGGGTAAAGTGAGACCAAGCTATGAGTACCAGCAACTAACTTCAGCAGCAGGGCCAGTGTGTGTCTATGAAGACCCTCATGTGCAAGGAACGTTGGGGTCACCTATATGGGACCCTCCATCTCATATCCTTCTGGCCTACCTTTGCTGATTTTCTACTGGGTAATCTGGCAGCCCCCCACCTCAACCATGCCTCATAGCCAGCACTTTCTGCCCAGAGTTCCTCTGACGCCATGGTGTGGGATACCTACAGGAACCTGGACACTCACACATGCCTCCCCTGAAAGTGTATGGGGGTGGGTATGGGCACACCTTGAGCAATAGGTGATGGGATTCAGTGGCTCATGCTCTCCTTTTATGCCCCTCAGGAGGACAATTATGATGCATGTTCTGCCAGGTCCTCAAAGGGTCCCAGTGGCAATGAGTCCCCATTGTCCCAGCAGCGACCAGTTCAATAATTTACCTTTAGATTGGTTTTCTTCACTTCCCTTTTTCACTTTTCTCTGTTTCCTAGTTATAGACCCTGCTTTCAGGGAACTGGAGTACAATACCATTTGAATCCCTGTGCTAGACATTATCTATTGTCATTAACTTCTTCTTTAGTCCCTTCCATGTTCCCCTGTGTTGCATGGGCTGGCAGCCTTAAGACTATGTTTCCTGAATTATGCAGTTTAGGCTCTGCCAGAGGAAGAAATACAGCCAAGAGAGCAGGCACAGGGAGGTGGAGGCAGCTCTTTCTGTAGGATGGTGGCTACTGGGTAGAACTGGCAGACATGAGTTTTTGTTGTTGTGGTGATGATTTTTTTTTTTTTTGCAGTAGGACACTACATTCTGTACTTTTTTGGTCATTAGTTTAATGGATGTACAATTAGGACATTGGCAATGATTTTTCTGCAAGGTGGCAGCTATGGAGTGTGACAATGAGCATAGAAATGTGCCCTAACTCCATTCCTGCAAGTCTTCCTATATCAAATTTCCTGCATTGCATATCTCTGCACCAAACCCCTAGACTTTTCTGTCTCCTCACACTGAATCGTGACCATTTTGGCTCCCTCACTTCTATCACATATTTCTGAGTAGGATTAGGTAGAGTAAATCCAAAGATCACACACTTACCCAGAGATATCCAAAAACAAGCTGAGAGCCAGACTCTTTCCTACTCAACAGTGATTGCCCTAACTTCCCTTATAGAACCCTGCTGTCTCTTACAGCTGGGGTTAGGTATGTTCCCAATCTGGGTGTAGGATAGTATGCAGAAGGTGGGTCCTGGATAGGTTATCTTCCCTATTTTTTCTTCCTGCTGGTGGACCAGGTTCTAAGAGAACATAAAGCTTGGGACAGTGACAGCCATCTTGCATTCACAAGGGAATAGTCTTGAGGAGGGAAGCCAACACACTGAGAATGGTAGAGTGGAGAGACAGAAAATACTAGGTCTATGACAACATTATTGAGCTGCTGAATTAGGCTGGGAACTGCCTCCTTCTCATTGGCATCACGCTGACAGAATCCTTTCTTTCTGAGGCACTAGAGGCAGACCCAGAGGTCACCAAAGTTTCTTCTATGTCGACATCCTGCAACTCAGGGATGCTGGGACCCCTGGGAACAGAACTGGGACTAAGGTGAGACAAGTGAGCAACTTGCCTCAGGTGCAGAATTAAAGAAGGTGGAAAAAACAACAATAATTCGGTAATCAAGGTATATAATGTTTTAATGCAATAGTTAAAAAGTCAAAATTAATGAAAAAATACATGATGAACAAAATATCAAGATTTTAAATACAGACAGAATCAGTATTGCTAACTAGATCTGCTCTTCTTGTGTTTTCATACAGGGCACGCCCAAGGATCTCCCCCTTCCCAATCCATACAATAGAAGAGTTAGGGTTCTGGGATGTGGAGAACAGGGTTCAAGGTCAGGATCTACCAATGCCTTTACTGGTGATCCCAAGCAAATCTCTTCCCTTCTCTGGACTTCATCTGTCATGCACGGAGGCTGGGGCTTTGCCAAGATGGCCTCCTGACCTGTCCTCCTTGTCCCCATGGCCTGTTGAAGTTACTGTCCCTCTTCCTGGGAGGCTATGTCTCCAGGGCCATTGACTCCTGGCTATTAATATCTCAACCATCCCTGGCCCAAGCAGGGTGTTTAATGACTGCCAGCTGTGGCTCCGGCCCCCTCCCCCAGGAGAGATAAGGGCAGTTCCTGTTCCCACATGGGGGGAGAAGGGGGACGCTGGGTCACTGCTCATTAAAACAGGCCCTGGGCAAGCAGTGGAAATGTCAGAGCTGATTCTGACTCCTCACCCCGCTCCTGCCGAGCATACTGTGTGGGATGTCCCTGCACATGCTCCCCCATCATGGCCATCCACATTTCTGCCTCCTCAGGTCCTGATTTCAAAAGTTTTGGGGCTTTTCCCCAGATGTGCCACAGACATTATATTCAGCATGTCCCAAACCAGGTGATCCTCTCCCCAGCTCTCTTTTTCCTCCCTTGCCTGGTTGATGAACTGGAAACCTTCCCTAGATCTGCCCCTTGGGCCCTTTTCAGCAGCCAGAGTGGCCTACCCCAAATCCCCTGACTTCTCCTCAACCTCATTTGTGAACCCTCCCCTTTGTCTTGCTAGACAGAGCTCCCAGCGTCTGCTCACCTGGATTTAGGTGTCCCTGGCGCCCCACAAACCTATGGATTCGGAGATCCCTACCTAGTCCTTAGAGACCACCTCAGTGTCACCTCAACTGAGAAGCTGTCTTCCATCAATTCTGCTAGCAGACCAGACACCTTCGTTGGATAGCCTGTGCCCTGGAGTGGCAAGAATTATCCACATGGTGGCCTCTCCGGCAGAGGGGATTGCAGCTCTCTGGGCTGGGATGGTGGGGGTGCCTTGACTAACCTGAGCTAACTGGCCTTTGACTTCACAGTCTGGGGTCAGGGCTCAGTAGGGAACCAGAGTCTAGCCTGTGGCCAACCCAGGGGCTAGGGCTCTTACTTAGGGTTACAGCTGGGTCAGAGGCATGGTTCATGTATGGTAGAGGTTAGAGGCTTGGTCTGAGAGCCAGGCCCTGTGTCTCCTTAATCCCAGACTAAACCTGAGGACCAGTCCTGTGGCTATACAACTTCCTCTTTTTTTTTTTTTTTTTTTTTTTTTTTTTTTTGCATCTCACTCTGAATAGAGCTCAGGACAGAGTCCTACTTTCTGGGTCACTTGGCCTCCTGAAGAGGGACCTGCATGGGGATATTGAGGACAGCCTTGGTGAAGTCCTTGAAGCACCCACCAGGTGGCAATAGAGATGAGTTAGCCTGGCCTGACAGTTGCCTGACCAGGCAGGAGAGGGACTTGGGAACTAGGGTAACCCGAGAGGTGAAGGGAGAAGTTCCGGGTCTACTTCACGGCTGTTCTCAGCCTGGGGTGTCTATCTGTGTTTTCTAGGCCTTTCACCTGAGACTGTTTCAGCTTCTCCCCAGCCGGAATGCCCAGCACTCTGCTTCTCACCTCCTGTCACTCTCTGAGCAGGACCCCAACTCACTTCTCACTTTTGTTGTCCACATCTTGGGTCTCTCTTCTTAGTTCACTCCCTACCTTCTTGGATAATAACTGCTTTCCCCTCCAGGCTTCCCTGCCTTACCCTGAAGCCATGAGATGATTTCAGGCACTGTGGTGAATGGCCCAGGTCCAGCTCTGCATGGGGCTCCTTCTGACCTTCACACAACTCAGGCACTCCATAGGGTTCGCTCATTTGGTGGGATACATCTTGGGATGTTACTGAACAGGACGGGCTTTATAGAAAGCTTGTAGGCAGATCTGAGCCTTTGCCAGTCCTTTCTGACCTCTTTTTACCAGTTTGGCATCTGTCACTGGCTCTTCCAGCAAGACAAGCTCTTTGCAAATTTGCAGAGGTGGAACCCAAAGAGGTCAGCTTGGGCAACAGCTTTGGAGGTATCTCTTGCTGACAGATGTCATACTGTCTCTGGGTCTAAGCCTTTCTGTTAGTCATACTGTCTCTGTTCCCTGTCTCATGTTGGTGACATTTATTCTGTCCTCTATCTGCTCTTGGCTGAACCCTAGGTAATGGTTATATATATGGATTGCCTGTGTCCTGGAGTGGCAAGAATTATCCATATATTTCATGTTTCCTCCTTGTTTTCAGGAATGACTGTGGCCTGTGAAATTTTGCCATTTCTAGGACCATGGGCAGCTCTGTCAGCGATATTGTATTGGTCCAAGACTAAAATCGTCTCCCCTTGGCTAGATTTAGGGGGTGAGAGTCACAATGTGGATGTGTAATAACTTTATTGCACTCAGAAGAAGAGAAAGAATACAACTCAAAAAGTGATTTGAAATCCCTCAAAATTTGTGCTCCTCACATAGTAACATGGGATTCCTGTCAAAAGCCAGAGGAATGGAGGCATCTGGCTTCACCTCTCTTTGGAGTAGAGGGAGACACTGTAAATAAGAAGCCAGGCCACACAGGAACAACAACTACCAGGGGGAACCAAGCCAATTAAAGTCAACATTTATTGTTGCATGAGCCTGTTGCAGTCGGAAGGGATCTTCCAGCACAGGCTTGGATGAGAAACTGCGTGGCCACATGGGTGAATGACAGACCTAGTATACTCTGACCACCAGACTGTTGTGTCGAGACACATGGGCTGGAGGACTCAGCCACAGTCCATGAAGGTTGGGGTAGTGATGGGGATTCAGGAGTAATGGCAATAACAATATCAGTGGTAATACAAAAAGCCAAGAAGATTTAGCTGGTTACAATACATAAAAAGGTAGTAAAGTAAGAGTCTTATGTTTTCACTTCCCCATCAGCCAGATCTGAGTTCAATTCCTGTCTATAAGACAGGGTGAGATACCTGCTCTCTCTGAGAGAGAGAGTCTCCCATCTGTGAAATTGGGAGATTAATTCCTGCCTGGCTGGGTTGATGTGAGGATTAAGGGGCCCATGAGTGCACATCTCTGAGCCTAGTTCAATAGTTGGCACATAGGTGAGCAGCCAAGGAGAAAAGATCTTGAATGCTTTGGTTGTGCGTAAGGCTGGTGTGACTGATCCTACTTTATAGATGAAGCCACGGAAGCTTGGTAGAGCAGGTGGGCTTAGTGTTAGGTCTCAGCATTTGCTGATGCAGTCTCCTTCCTTCCCAAGGCCCCAGAGTTCCTCAGTCCTTGGGTTGCATTGTCCAACCTGATAGATGCTGGAACCCACTCCACTTCAGTGGGTCTCACAAAGATAGCTGTGCTCCCCAAACACAAACTCCAAACCACAATCTTATCTGCCCGAGGTAGAGAAACTCACTCACCTGGAGAGATGGCAGGTAAGAGGGCACAGGGGAGGAAGATGCCTGAATGGCAATGCTTAACTTAAAGGAATTTGACTGCAGTGGTGGAATTTCAGGCATCATAAGGGTTGTGGTGGCGGGTGATCTGTAGGGACAAAACCTCTTCGCCCTCGGATGTCAAAAACTTTGAGGATGGGTAGTTTCTTTGCTCTGATTGGATTCGTCAGAAAAGACCACGGGAGCAATCGGGAGGGGCGTATGCAGATTTCTTGCCTTTGATCGGCAGGGGACCCTTTGGAGGAGGAAGGAGTCTGATGATATTTCCATCGCATCCTCCAGGGGAGGAGCTCCCAGCTCTCCAGCCCACGTAGAAGTGCTTGCAGAGGTGCAAAAGTTCTCCAGGAGTGTTTGAACAGGGCTCCAGGGCAGCCTTCCAGCCTCAGCCTGTGGCTGCCCACGTTCGGGCAGGCCTCTGTCCCGGTGCCGGCCAGGGTGGGTATGAAGAGGCTGAAGGGGCCGCCTTGGTTCCCCGGGCCTGGGGATGATCAGACCAGGGAGACTTCGGCCTGGAAGCTGGAGGAGCGGCGCGCGCTGGGGCTGACGCGGGTCAGCATAGAGACTTGCGTGCTGCACGTGGCTCCGCTGCTGCCTCCCCACGGGTTCTGGTGTTTGGGGTTCCATCCCAGAACGCCCTGCAGGTGCCAGCGTCGCCACTTCCGCCGCAGCTCAGCCTGCACCTAGGAGAGGGGAGGGTGGTCAGACCCGCCACTTTGGAGCTTTCTCCACTCCACGGGCCAATTCTGCTGTTGTCTATTTAGGGTGCTGAGCCAACCAGTCATATCCTCTTTGGAAGTCTAAATTGAGACACCCAGATGCTGTTTCTCGGGCTGTGCAGAGTTGGGAACGTTTTGGGGCCAGGATCAAATCAGGACCTTGGAGTGGGGGGAGGTGGGAGGCAAAGAGGATCACAGAATGCAGCCTAGACTGCAATGGTGGAATTTCAGGCACCATAAGGGTGCTGACTGGGGGTGGCTGTACCCCGGTTCTTCCCATCGCCACACTCCAACTCACTGGAGCTCATCCATGAGGATGTCCGTGCTCTGTAGCCAGGACTCCACAGCAACTCCACCTTCCCTGGCTGCCCTACCCCCACTCAACACTGTATACAGCCAACTAGATGCCTCTCCAGCTCTGCTGAGCACAGCAATCAGCCCTGAACCCAGAGGAAAGGGTTAAAATGCAGATTCTAGGTCAGCAGGTCTGGGGTGGTCTCAGAGATCTGCATTTTTAACAGGTTTTAGGTTGACAGAGTTGCTAATAGTCTAATAGTGAGGTTTAACCTGTCCTTGCTCTGCATATAGCCCATCACTGTTAATGGACCCTGGCTCTCAAGGTCTAGGAAGGACTTACCTCTCCATTGAGAAAGCAGTAGAGGATGGCCACCACAAAACCCTGGGGAGGAAGGGGACGGCATAAGTGAGGTGGACAGATAGCAGGAACTCCCAGCCCCACCCCGCCTTTGGCCTCACACAATCCCTGTGTTCCTCTGGTTAAGGAAAGGACTAAGCAACCAAGTAGATGCTCAACCAACACTTATCACAATAAGACTGGAGTTCAGTGGCAAGAGCCCCAGAGTCCAGGTTGAAATCCCTTAAAGCCCTAAGAAGAATGCATCCTGAAGTCAATGGTTCCTACCTGGAAAGATCCCACGACGAGCTCAAAGACCATTTTCACTTCAGCCTTAAAGTTGTCTGGGAAGAAGGCGAACATGATGTAGTGCACTCCAAACAGGGGGATCAGCAGGAGCGTGGACTTGGCCAGCCTCCTGGGGACAGGGAGGGCCAGCTGTGGGCAGGTGTGTCTACTCATGTGGATACCATAGGGCCTGGTGTGGGGTTGCTGAGGCATGACATATGCAAACAAGGCGAGGAGGGACTGCTGGCTCCCCTACATGTCATACCCACATCTGTTCCTGTCCTAGATCTGCACTGCCACTGCCCTCATGCCCTTGGCCTCCAAGCCCGGAGGAAAGCATGAGAGAGAAAGTCCCTCTATTCTCATCCTTACAGAGAAGAGACTATAAAGGAGAGGCCAGTGTGGATGATGTGTAAGTGTGGGATTTCAGCTACTAGGGAGATGTTCTCAGGAACAAGAGATCCTGGTTCTCCCTCTCCTGGTCTTTGGTTTCTCCAATCTATACAACTAGGTAAATGTATGCACAACACAGTCAAGTAACAGAGTTGGGGGCCTACTGTAAACTCAGAAGTGCTTTGGGTGCTATAAAACAGTGCATTTTCCTTATTGGGAATGAGGACTTCTGGGAGGAAAATCTTTCCAGCTGCAGTGCCATAGGTTCAAGGCCCCTTGGGAGTATGGCGAGTGCCCAAGTTTATGCCTGGTCACTAGGGTTACTCAGTACAGCTCTCTGTCTTCAGCTTTTCTGCTGTGTCCACCTCTCCAGGAGTTGCCATCTTCCCTGGGATTGCACCCCTTTCCCGCACTCCCCCACCTCTGCACACCAATGCACACGTTCCCAGTATGCTTCTCTCATGTTGCTAAGGACCAACTCCTTCTTCACCAGTGCTCAGCAGGGTCAGCATTCACTCTAAATTCTCTCCTCTCTTCCATGGCACAGGGCTCATTCTGTACCAGTTGACCTCACAGCTGGTCCAGGCAGTGTGAGCCCATGGTTTCCTGGATGGGGGAAGTCTGGGAAGAGGTTGGTAGGGGTTGTCTCTGCCCCTATCTTTCCTCTCCGGGAAGTCAGTCCAGCGGGGAGGTGGGTCTGAGGTTCCCCCAGTAACCTGGGAGCAGAGGAGCTGGCCTTACCCCCTCCCACTCCTTCCTGGGCTTGGCTCCCACCCATGCAAGGATCCAGAGCACTGCCCACCCTTCCTTGGCCACAAACCTATCCTTCACTGAGGCTGACAGATGGAGGCTTTCTTTAAATTGAAGGCTTATGGGGAGGTGGAGAGTGGGAGCTGATAGCCCCTCCTCAGGGAGCGCCATCTCCAGCTCTTGCCACCCCTTCTGCCTGATGACAGCTGTTCCCTTCCCATCTATCTCACCCACACGGACCTGGCCAGGCCCAGCTCAGATTCTTTCCCTCAGATTCAAGCCCATATGCATGTTGGGGGAAATGAGGCTCCACGGGCAGAGGAGAGGGTGAGCGTGCACAACCGGATGTGCTGCTCCTCAGCAGATTGCAGACCCTCACTGGGCCTTCCCTTCTTCAACAGGAGGGGACGCTCCACCTACACGCCTGGCAGGCAGGAGAGGACGCGGTCACACCAGGGACGTGAGTCTTAAGTCTCATCAGAGAGAATCACACGATTCCAGAATAGAATCCTAAATCCAGCAGCTCGTGACATTATAGCTGGAATCTGGAGCCACAGCACACAATGTCGAAAGAAAAGCCGGGCCAAGAACATTCTAAGATCCCAGGACCAGAAATCCCATGTGGCACTGCCAGCTTTGTCTTGTCTGCACAGCACGGATGCTCAATCTCCTGCTCCCTTTTCTGGGCATGCAGACCCTACTCACCTTCCCAAAGCCCTTTTCATATTTTCACATTTCTTTATTTCTGCTTTTCAATCCTGTTGCTCCAATAAAAACCTGCCTCTGTCTCTAGTCGTCGCAAGCACAGGGGACAGCCCTCATGCCTTTCCAAGCAAGGAACATATTTACTATCCCATGGACATCATTCCCCTTTCTCCTTGCCTATGATCATGTGATCCTGAGCCCTGGAGAGCAGTTTTACAGGGGACTGAGTGGGTACGATGAGTCGATGCATGGAGATCCCTTAGCACATGTAAATTGCAGATGTCCTTATTATAATACTGAGTCTGAACATGGCTATCACACTGGTAGACTGGGGGGACTCCCCTAGGGCTTTCATCTGCCATGCATTTATTGCACCCCTTTTCTGTACCATGCACATGCCAGGGACTGGGTACACAGTACGAACAAGACACAGGTTATCTCTGTCCTCTTGAGCTCTGTGGCTTGACAGCGATGTGTACCTGGGAACGACGCCAGGTGAGCTAGTGGAGAAGAAGCAGACAAGGGATTCTGAGGGCAGCCTGGTGAGGTGGGCAGGGCCAAGGGACACTGGTAGGCTGAGCCAGGCCATGGAATGGCAGTGGGCAAGAGCAATGTGGCTTTTTTGGTGACTCTAGAGGTTTGGGACAGGGGTTCTTCAAGGGGATGCAAGGTGATTTGAGGGCTGGGGTTAGAGGAGGTAGGGGACAAGAGCACTGGGCCCACACTCACGAGTATGGACTGCTGTCATTCTTCCCGATATCGGGGGGTCGCAGTTTCTGAACCAGGATTCGGATGATGCAAATAAACAGGATGAAGTTCACCTGGTGGAGTGGGGACCTGGCGGTTGGTCACTCAGAGAGGGGATGTTTAGTCTTCCAGGCTGATGGCCTGTCTTTCTGGGGTTATGCTGCCCCTCACTAGCTCTTCCCTCTTTGGGGTGGTCATCTAGGACCTCTACTTCACATCTCTAATGACCGTGCCTCTCAACCCGTTTACTCTAGAGGAAGAGCTGGGGGCATGGAGATCGGATGACCCCATATCAGGCAGTGGGAACCTATAGTTCAGCTCTGACCTGACACTAATTTCCTGTGTGACCTGAGGGAAGTTGCCTCTCCAATCTGGGTCTGAGTTTCTCCAACTTCACGGGGTGGGAGGAAGTCTTACCAAAATGGAGGTGAGGATGGGGGCCTTTATGATCCACCACAATGAGGAGTTGATGGTGTCCCAGCACCTGATCAGAGTATGAGCAGGGGAACAAGAGATTGTCCTCAGTCCCAGAGAGTCAACAGTCACCCCCACTGTCCCTGGCTCTGCCCCAAGCCCTAGAGACAATGGGCCCAGAGTCTGTTCTTCCCTCTAACCTCCCCTCTGGGGGACACTGTCCACCTGCCATTCCACCCAGGGGATCTCACCCAAGTGATGGAAGCCGAGGGGTGGGGGCAGGGTGACCGCTCACCCATAATCCTCAAACTGGATCCTGATGATGGTCCACACCATGGTGAATGTGCTGGGCACCCCTGTCAGGGACAAAGGAGAGAGAAAGAGAGGAGAGGGCACAGGAAGCAAGGGTAGAAGAACCGAGGGAGAGATTTAGGGCAAAGAACCAGAGAGAAGGGGGTGAGAGAAAAGGGTGTGGTTCAGGGCTGCTGTCTGTGGTTGCAAGGGGTTTTCCTTGTGCAAAGATGCTCAAGGTGGCAAAGTTGTGTGCCCCTAGGGCTGTGTCCCACCGTGAGGGACAGTCTTTTTCTAATGTTGATAGGCATCTTACAGATTAGCAGTGGCTCTGCATGTGACAGTTACTAAAGGGAAAATGGAAAGCTGATCTGTCCCTCAGAGTGACCCTAGTTGCATCTGCAGCCTAAGGGCTCCTGTCCCAGGGTCAGATATTCCAGTAACTTTTATTATCCTTGGTCAAGATCCTTGGAGGCAGCAACTAAGACTGTGGGTTGGGCTGGCACCCTCCCCCAGTGAACTTCCCAGACCTTGCCCCCTCTGTTCCCAGCCTGACAGCCCTCCCTGGTACCATACCCCAGCCGATGAGTATGTACCCCCAGAAGTACTTCCGCTCGGAGAAGAAGGAGACGGCAAGCAGGGTATGCAGGTAGAGGCCCTCCACCAGCAGCCAGAAGAAGTTGGCCATGACACAGTACTGGAAAAAGACCACGGCTGCCTTACAGCCCACCTGCAGGGAGGAGAAAAAGGGAGTTCATTAGGGCTAGCAGGGATCCCTTATTACCCATAATTCTGCTTAGGGGCAGGGACAAACAAGTTGTGGCTCAGCCAACCTAATCTCTTTGTTGTTTTAGAATGTACTTGGTGGTTTTCCCACCATTCCTGATTTTAGATCATCTGATGCTTTGGGATAAATTAGCAATTCTTTTTTTGGGGGGGGTGGTGGGTACCAGGATTGAACTCAGGGGCACTCGACCACTGAGACATATCCTTAGCCCTATTTTGTATTTTATTTAGAGACAGGATCTCACTGAGGCACTTTTGCTGAGGCTGGCTTTGAACTCAAGATCCTCCTGCCTCAGTCTTCTGAGCTGCTGAGATTACAGGCGTACGCCACTGCACCCAGCAAGTCAGCAATTTTAATGGTCCATCCATTTACGCACCCATTAGACATTTGTCACCAACTCATCTGTTCATTTGCTGTCCATGCATTTATCTATCATCTATTCATCTTCCCCACCATCAATCCATTCACTCACTTGCCTATGTATCTCTCCATTCATCTACCAACCTTACCCACTTACCCAGCTAGCCATCCTTTCACTTATCCATCCACCCATCAACCTACTCATGCATCCATTCCTCCACCTGCCTACCCTCCTACCCCTCACCTATCATCTCTTCAATCTTCCTTACTTAATCCATCTCTCTTTCTGCCTACTGAGCCACCCATGGACCCATTTACCATTTACCCATTCACCAACCATCCCATCCCCTTCCCATCCCCTGTCCCCACGCATTCATCTTATTCCAATTAGGACTGAAAGTAGCTGGGAGATATATGAGGGCAAAAGTCTTGCTTGAGTTTTCAAAAGTCTACTGACTACTTGGGGGTACAGGCTGTGGACTGTGGAGTGGGGCCAAGGAAGTGTGGAGGAGAGACTGGGACTGAGAAGAAGGTGGAGGAGAAAGAAGTAGAAATGAGGAAAAGAAGAAGAGGGAAGGGGTGGTCATTTCTCTGGGGGCCAATGGAGCTACTGGACGAATGGGTTCCCCAGGGAGGTAAGGACAATGAAGGAGTCAGGGAGACCCTTGAGTGGAGCAATCAGTGGGTTCTGGGTGGCCCATCTGGCATGACTGGAAAGTCTTCTGGGCCTTTTGTCCCCTCCCAGAAACAGTCTCTATTTCAGATGAAACCAAGATGCCTGTGAGCCAGGGCTTAAAGCTACCCTCCTCTTCTACTTCCTTGTACCCAGAATATAGGTTCCCACCCTTCTTTCTCATTCCCTTGGTTTTGAGATATCCTCAGAGAGGAGCTTCATATTCCCTCCCTAGGGATGGGAAGTCCTTCCTTAGGCCACATTTCTGTCCCTCCAGCTGCAAGGTGTGCTTGCTTCCCTACCTTTCCCCCTCATTAGCTTCACAACAAGCATACTCAGTTCTTTTTTTTTTATTTATTTTCTGGTTTTTATTATTTATTTTTTAGTTCTCGGCAGACACAACATCTTTGTTGGTATGTGGTGCTGAGGATCAAACCCGGGCCGCACGCATGCCAGGCGAGCGCGCTACCGCTTGAGCCACATCCCCAGCCCGCATACTCAGTTCTTTAACAGGACAATTTTCTGTGCTTTTCCTTTGCCATAGAAAAGCTTCACAGGGCTGCTAATAAAATGAATTGGGAAGACAGTTTTCACAATTATCCTCAGCAAGTGTGCTAGAGGCCGCAGGTCACTCCCCAGGCTCTGTGGTCCCTATTGCACTTGGTCCCCACCTTGTGAAATGAACACTGGGTTTTCTTCCCTTCTTCTTGAGATGCCTGAGATTCCACCATCAAAGGTTCATTCCCTGGGGGAAGGTATTGCTGACCCTTGATATTAGGTACTTTCTCTCTTGGATCATTCATGAAACAATGAGTCCTTGACCACAAGGGATGGTTCAGAGCTAGGGCCACTCTCAAGCTCTCTGTCCTATGACAGGGACACCCAGAGAGGGCGCTTTGGCTCAGAATCACTTGGAGATGAATCTCTTAGTGACTAACAATTAATTCCCTAGAGGCTCCCTTGACCTCCCCTCCTTAGGAAGGTTCAGAACTAGACCAAGGGCAGGGGAAGAACAGAAGAGGAAGGCTTCAGAACAGTGTTTGGATGGAGTCCAGATGGCAAGAGGAGGGGGTGGGGAGTAGGAAGGGTGGCATGGTGAGCAGAGCCCTGGTTGCAGATGGCAGAGAACAGAATTGGAGGAATCTTGGAAGTCCTTGTGCAGATGGGGAAACTAAGGCAGGGAATTTTCAAGGCCAACAGAATGTTAGCAGTGGAGGTAGGGTGTAGGCCCTAGGCTGTGGCTGTGAGATGTCCCACTTTCCACCTGTGTTGCTCATTGGCAGGAAAGGTCTATAAGAGGAAAGGCTGTAAGATCAGGTGCTGGGAGAGCAGTGAGATTTGAGGAGCTATCACGGAGTTGGGTAGAGGGGTTGGCCATTCCTGGAGAGAAAGACAGAAAAAGAAGAGGAAAGGAGGGCAGGGTAGGAGGAGGGAGGGAGTGAGAAGGGAGAGGAGAGAAGTAGGGAGGAAGAACAGATTCACAAGATTAAAGATGAAGGCAAGACTGAGGAAGGGATCCAGGGCAGAGTCCTCACCGAGCCCTCAGAACAGTGGTCTGAGTCTCCGCTGTCGAAGAGGGCCAAGTCTTTGATGAAGACGGCAGCAGCCCTCAGGATGAAGGATACGAAGAGATGCGTGTGGATGTAGTTCCGCGTGCAGTGGAGCTTCCTGCATGGGGCAGGCAGATAAGGGAGGCTGGAAAGACCTCGGACACTCATCCCAGCCAACATGGACCTGTGCTCTGATTAAAGGGGTGGGGCTGAGAAGCATGTGGGCTCCAGAGTACAGGTCCGGCCTCCAAGGGGGTCCCATCCCAAACTGTGGGCCCAACTTCAGGAACCCCACTCTCCTGTGCATCCGAGGAGCATCAGCAGGGTGCACCCAACCTCTGGTGCCATATCCACAGCTATAGGCCATCCTGTGGGTGACTAAGCTGCAGCAGATGGCACATCTTGACCCCCGCCATCCAGAGGAGGCTGGCCTCTCAGGAGGGCTGGGGCAGGGACTGTGAACTAGCTTGGGGTTTGACAGTGCAGAGGCTGGGCTCAATCATGGGAATGATACTCGTTGGGACTGCTTTGAGGCCTAATGCCCAGGCGGGGTCTTACCTGAACAGGCTCAAGATTGCGGTGGCGATCAGAAGCGTGGCAAGGGACAGGCTGTAGCCGATAGTGTAGCCAGTCTTCACGGAGTGGTAGAACATTGTCTGCTGCTGCTGGAGGGAGGCAGGCAAGGATCTTGGGTGGGGGGCAAGGTGGGCTCACCTAGGGGCTCTACACTCTGCCTGCTGGACCCTGGCAGATGAGGAGGCTGTGGCCCAGGGCTCCCAAGAAGAGCTGAGCAGTGCCCTTTGTGCCACCAACCCCCTAACACTTCAGTTTCCAGGACAGAACCATGTCCCGGGGTGTGGTGAGGGTTGAAGTCACTCCCTCTCTTCAAGAGGGATGTGTCAGTGAGGGACAGAATGGAGACCTCACACATTCCACTTGTTGATTCATTCATTCTTCAGTCATGTGTCTGGCCTTGCTGTCCCAACTCTGGGCTCAGGGCCCCAGGAGACCAAGGCTGCTGTCCTTTCAGACCTGCACATGAAGCCCTCTTTCTATGTAGCTTGGGGAGGCACATAGGAAGTTCAGACTGTTAAAGAAGACATGGGGCGTAATTTCCCATGTGGGGTTCCCAGTGGCTGGGGACAGCAGGGTGAGAAAAATCTAGCCTTTCTGTAGGAGACAGGACAATACTGGATCCCAAGCCTTCTCACTTGGCCCCCTCCCTCAGTGTCCTCCCTATGGACACACATGCAGAGTGACAGTCTTTTGGTAAACCCCACTTTCTCCTCCATGACCCACATTGTGCCTAAGGAGAGGTAAGGGGTTAAGAGGGATTCTGGGGAGTTAGGGCCAGAGGCTCTGGTAGGCTTCAGAAGCCTTTCAGGAAATTACTGCTCCCTTCAGAGACAGGAAAGCTGTCTGATGGGGTGTCTTGGGGTGGGGCAGATGTCATCACAGACCCACAGGGATGTTTACACCCCAAAGCAGTGAGGGGCTTCTAGCTAAGGACTACAGTTATTATCCAGCCTTCGCATCCATATTACTAAGTGGCTCCTCAAATCTCTATAGAGACCACCTGTGCTCTACTTGCTTCAGGGACAGATCCCTGTCCTCAGACTGAGGACAATGTGCCCTTTTCCTATCCTGTCCCTGATGTGATGTTGGGTATCTGAGGCTGGTTCTTTTTGCATGATCAATTTCCATCTGGACACGATAGGGTGATGGTATCTGCTTGCCGTGCCACCTCCAGGCTGAAACCAGGCTCCCTCAAGACAGTGGGGTGGCCCAGCCTGTGGTTACTGCTTTAGCTTCTGCTATGGGGACAACTTCCTGTGTGCTGTCCTCATGAACCACCCTCCACCTGCAATGCACACTGTCAGGGGGATTGAGGGGATGAGTCCAGAAACCCATGCTTGGAGAGGGAGTCTTGGAGGGCAGGTCCCAGGAGTCCAGCTCCTGCACACATGGCAACCTCAAGGGAGGCTGAAAGGAACATGGGTGGGCTGAGGTGAGCTGGGGGTGGGGGGAGGGTGCACTAAGGCCCACCTCATCCAAACTTGATGCCTTGTCATCCAAGCCACAGGCAATAGGGTAGGGGCCAGGCTCCAGCTGCGTCCAGCCCTCATCTGTGCAGCTGCGGCTCACGTTTCGGCCTAGATGGGAGAGAAGAGCAGGGAGGAGAGTGGCTGAGACCAGGAGGAGGGCTAGTCCCTGGAGCAGGCCACAGGGGTCTGGCTGCCTCTGTGCTGGGCACGAGGCAGATAAGAGTCCTATTCCCACTGACTCCTGGTGCTGCCAGGCTCCAGCTGTTCTCTTTCAGACCCTCAGGGCACCTGAGGCAGGGAGGAGCCCCTTCAGAGTGCCAGGGGACCTTCTGAACAGACAGCAGAATCAGATCATACAGACCTGGGCTTAGTCCTACCCCCTGTCATGACCAACCCTCATTCCAGGGGAAATGTAAATTCTATTATTGTCACAGACTCAACTGGATCCTCATCACAGAAGGACCCCTGACCCTTGCCATGAGCTGAACACTGACCCTTGTCACTGGGACAGAGCTCAGGCAGGAGGCCCTATCAGCCTAGTCCTCCTTGGTCATCCTGGGTGGGGCTGTGAGGCCATGTCCTCCCACATGTTCAGATGTGCTTCTGGAGAGGGACCAAAGGTAGAGGTGGACAGGGTTGGGGGGTGGAGGACACCTGATAAAGGTACAGATCTGAAATTCTCATAAATGGAGAAGTAAGGGGTTCCTGGCAGGGGAAACTGCAAGGCAATGCATGTGAGAGGGCACTCAAGCAGGGCAGCACTGCAGGATCTTGAAGCTGAAACAAGTTGCGGCTGGGGCTCCAGGGCCCGCTCCATCAAGTCTCTGTGCAGCAAAGGGCAGGATTGCCAAGGGGCATGTGAGGTGAGGGGTACACCAAGGCTCCCCACTCTTCAGGCCTAGGGAGGTGTCTTCTCCCCTCAGAGAGAGGGGAGGGGCTGAATAGACAATGGGGGGGGACAGTAGAGTGCCCCTCCCCCATAGGACCACCATCACCGTCACCATCATCAACAGCAGCAGCAGTAGCCTCATCATAATGGCCAGTTTTGACCTTTCCATGTGTCAGAGTTGAACAGAGCACTTTAATCCTGCTCCTACCCAATGAGGAAGGTAACTCCATTTCACACTTGAGAAGGGGAGGCTCCATGAGGTTGGTACCTTGCTCAAGGTCACTCATAGGGCAGGGTGGAGCTGAGCTGGTCTGTTCTCCCAAGTCCTGTCAGGTAAGCTTGTCCCTCGCCTGCACTGAGGGGACCTGAGAACTTGTTTCCATGTCCAGGTGCAGAGCCACAGGAGGTGTCGAGCTGTCCTGTGAACTCAGGGAGGGTCTCTGTGCAAGAGTGTTTTAATATTTCCAAATTTTGCCCTGTGCCTGGAATATACCAGGTGACTCCATAGTCACTTTTTCTGGAGCAGGCCACAGGAGCCTCCCGACATTGCTTTGAAAGAAGTCCTTATCTTCCTACTTTATGTGTGGGGCCTTGGGCAGCTGGGGCTTGGGGAGGAGAGCCAGTGAGGAGCAGCCCTGGATAAATGGCCTGGGGACTAGGTGGCTGGGGGAAGGGCATTGGGCTGGGTTTCCTGCCTAGGCAGGCTCTGCTGCCCAGGATTCCCAACCACACTGCCATAGAGCTTGCAGGACTGAGCAGTCTCTAGTAGCCCCCTCTCAGCCCTCTCCACTTCCTGTCATTGTGGCTGAAGGTGGGCCAGGCCTGCAGCCTTCAGCAAGTCCCTTTCAAACTGCAGCTCTGCCTCACCCCAGTTCTAAGGATTATACCTAAGGCCCCGAGGCCATGCCTCCCACTCAGGATCAATTCTTCTGGGGACTCCACCCACTAGGGATTGGGTAAGTAGAAAAGAGGGACAGGCCAAATCAATCAGCCTTGAAGCAGGGACATTAAAATATTGGATTCCCTTTTCACCAGATGGATCAGGGCTCAAAAGATCAAGCTCAAGGACAGAGCGGGCACCTGATATTATCATACTTATGCATACCAAGACTGGGTGACTCATGAGTGTCTACACAGTAGCTTCACATGCTGTGTGTGTGTGTGTGTGTGTGTGTGTGTGTGTGTGTGTGTCAGTGTGTGTTGGACAAACATTAACGTGTTAAGGCCAAGGATTGGGAGTTATCACTAGTCCTGCAAAAAGATGGGGAACCAAAGACTAAGAGAGGAAGTAACTTGCTCAGTCACAGCAAGAAAGCTACAGTCTCAAGCCAGCCTGACTCCAGATCTATCTGGGCTCCTGGCAGTGGCCAAAGGGAGCCACCTTGTCCTCTGGAGCCATGGCCGCTCTAGGTAATAGGGGAAGGGAGAGCAGGCGGCCTCTTTGAGGAGCCTGGGAGAGTGGCCTAGGCCACAAAGAGAGCTGCTCTTGAGGGGATTTCAAAGGCAGTCACCATGGGACCCAAGGAGCAGCCAAGTCTCTGCCATTTAGCTCTGTGTCTGCAGGGGGGATACAGGGGGTGGGAGGGAATGGCCAAGGGACTTTAATCCTGAGCTAACAGGGATGCCCCACATTCTGTTTCCTCCCACTCACCAATGGCTCACAAAGCAGTCACACCCCTCTCCTCTCCGGGGGTTCTCTGTTTTCTAAAATTTGCTGCTCAGTGACTTGAGCCAGAAATTAGGAAATTTTTGTTTCTCCTCTCCTCCTCCAGGATCCACAAGTCCTGTCCCAGATTCTTTTTTCTTCAATTCTACTGTATCTTGTCTTCCCTGGCTTAGGTAGGAGTCTCCTGATGGGTCTGTCTGCTTTCCTGAGCCTTCCAACCAGATCACTACCCTGAGATAGCTAGAGGGATAGTTCTGGCATCCATACCTGACCCTAGGGCTCTCCTGTCGAGATCTGTCTAGGGTTCCCCATCCAGTTAGCAAGTGTAAACTTCTTAGGTTGGAATCAAGAACTGGGTAGGGGAAAGAGGGTGCGCACAGGCTCTGCAGACGTAGCTGACATAGACTGTGTATTTGTTTTTCAAACCAAAATAACCATCTTATTTTTTATTCTAAAAAAAAATCCTTCAAATATTTAAAGGTAAAAAGCCCCACAGATGAAACAGGTGCAGCAGTGCATGCCTGTAATCCCAGCTACTCTGGAGGCTGATGCAGGAGCATTGTGAGTTTGAGACCAGACTGGGAAACCTAGCAAGACCCTATCTCAAAAGGTCTGGAGATGTAGCTCAGTGGTAGGATAATTGCCTAGCCTGCTTGAGGACCTGGGTTTCATCCCCAAAAACCAAACACACAGATTTATATATGCATATTACAAACTAAAGAAATAAACCACCATAAACATTTTGGTACCTTAATGAGCAATCACTTGCCTAGCCAGCCCCTCTCCCCCAGGTATTATATCCAGCCTAAATAGATGATTCTAACCCACCAAGATTTTTTTATCTTCTATAAGCTTTCTTTGACTTTTCCTGTAGAACCAGGTCACTTCCTAGGGGAGTTATCCAAAGGGGCAGAAGAACTTCATCCCTATCCCACTCTTGCAAACATTCCCCCTTGGGAATTTAAGGCCAGTTCCTCATGCCTTCTTTGCCTCAATGCCCAGATATGTTTTCAGCCCCAGCCACAGTCTCCGTCATTTTTAGAGTGAGGTCCTCTGAGTTAGCTGTACAGGTTGTTCACTGCATGTGACATCCGGCTGATGAATGACAGACTAAAATTGACTTCACATTCAGGTTGCCACTCAGTGAGCTCTGTTGAGAGGTTGATTCCACCTGAAAAAGACCTGCTTTTTTCTCATTTGCACAAAGGCATTGAATGGGTCCTGTTGAGGCCAGCACCCTCAAGGTCAGCCAGATGGTGAACTGGAGTCTGAGTTCTTAAGCAAAGGAGCTGCCTAGATACATTCCGGCAGGGACAGAAGGAAGTAGCACATGGAGAGGAAGCATTTAGTTGATGCTTGGAGAAGGCTGATTGCCAGACTCTGCTCTTGGGACTCAATATGGGGTCTGCTAGAGGAGCTCATCTCCTACCAGCCCAGGTCCTAGGTCCTCACTGGAGAAGGGCTGGATAAGGGGGATGCTGACCTGGAATAAGGCACACCTTACTGCTTCCAGATTCTTAGAGGGCGCTCCAAGGTCTGTCCTTCACAGTGAAGGTCACAACCCTTAGCATGGAGGGAAAACCTGGCACAGGCCAAAGAGACTATTTGGTCTACCTTCTCTCTCCACTTTACAAACAGGAGAACTAAAGTCCAAGGACTAAAGTCACATGAAGTGAGGGACCTCTGCTGGAACCTTATCAAGGCCCTGATCTTCCCTCCCTCCCTCTGCCTCCTCCACCCTGCTCCACCTTTAGTCTTCCCCATCCAATCTGCTCTTCTCTCAGTCCTCTCCATCCATCCAGCTCCTCCATCACTCATACACCCCGATTCCCCCTCAGTCCTCTCAGTTCACCCTGCTGGACCCTCACTCCTCCTCATCCACCCCCCTTCTCCCTGTGTCTCCCACATCCACGCTGCTCCTCTCCTCCATCAGTCCTCCTCATTGACCCTGATCCTCCCTTACTGCTCCTCATCCACAACCATCTGGCTCCAAACACCGTCCTCCCCATCCACCCTGCTCATCCCTTAGGTCCTCTTCATACACCCTGTTCCTCCCCCAGGGCCCTCCATCCTTCCTCACACCTCTACATTAACCATGCTCCTGCTTCAATCCTCTCCGTGACCCCTGAACCCCCTCACTCCTCTTCATCCACAGCAAACCTAGTCTTCCCTCAGTACTCACCATCCAGCCTGCTCTTCCCTCACTCCTCCTCCCTCAGTCTTCTCTGTCCATCCTGCTCCTCCCTAATTCCTCCTCATTCACCCCATTCCCCACAGAGTACTATCTTACACACCAATTCTTTTTTTTATTGGTTGTTCAAAACATTACAAAGCTCTTGACATATCATATTTCATACATTTGATTCAAATGGGTTATGAACTCCCATTTTTACCCCGTATACAGATTGCAGAATCACATCGGTTACACATCCACATTTTTACATATTGCCATACTAGTGTCTGTTGTATTCTGCTACCTTTCCTATCCTCCACTATCCCCCTCCCCTCCCCTCCCATCTTCTCTCTCTACCCCATCTACTGTAATTCATTTTT